CCTACCTTTTCTAATGAATATTTCTAGGGTAAAAATAGGGAAAAATACAGTCAACTCACCTGTGCTAAAGAAAGGGAATAATGGTTGCAAGTAAGCCAATAAAGGAGAAAATGGGGAAATAGCTTTCTTGTTGCTTGTAGCTTTGTGGCTATAAGTGCCCCCCCCCATGCCCATGCCCAGGGGTCAGGGTCCCCTCTCAGGAAGCTTCTGCTGGAACTCACAGCACCGAAGGCCACGGAGAGCATCGTCTGCATCTTGGCAGCTTCCATGGACCCGATGACCCCTTTCTTGTAAAGCAGGGCGCTGCCTGCCAGGGTCCAGAACTTCATATGTTTGACCCCGACGGACACAAATTGGGTGTCTGAGTCGGGGCGAAATTCCACCACAAATATGCGCTCCAGGTGACCCCCTCGGCTGGCAACCTTGGCGCCTGTATGGGTGAGAGATTCTGGTGAGGGGGGTGTCCTCCCACACTCCGGGTCAGGCACTAAAGCGCAGCTCACTCAAGATGGCTCTCCATCCCAGCAAGGCCCAGGGTACCCTGCAGATGTTCCTTCTTCTTCAACAGCACCCTCCCCACCTCAGACACTACTCTCAACACCTTATAAAATGGGAACTCTTATTATCCCCAAATTACAGATGAGCCAAACTGAGGCACCGGGAGGTTAAAATAACTTTCCCAAAATTGCTCTACAAATAAAAGGTGGAGCTGGGGTTGTCTGAGGACAAAAGTTAAAGCTCCACAGACGAGTCAAACACATAAATGGGGTTGAGGAAAAAACTAGTAATTAAGTATAAAAGGTAGAATTTTTAAACCCAAAAACCATGAAAGAAAAAGGAATTGAAGGACTTTTTTTTGAAGAACGTAAAAGCAGAGAATCTTGGAAAGAAATAAAGAACTCTCTAAAGGAATGGGAGTCTCCAATTACACTCCAGAGGAGGGTTCAGCTTCCCGTGGGCAGGCATCATGTGGTGAGTTCAGACACCAGAAGTGAGGAAATGAAGGGTGCCCTTTGCCGTTTTCTCATATCTGGAAGCTTCCACCCCTGGGGCCATCCCTTCTTGCTGTGTTCATGGGGGCCTGGATGTGGCTTGTGGGGGTGAAGTGAGATGGAGGGTTATGTTTGCAGCACTGCTGCTCTGGAAATTTCCCAGGCTCTCTCTTTTCCGCCCTGAGAGTACACTTGAGTGGTTTATTTTGCACCTTCTTCTAAGCCACTGTTTGTTTTTTCCTGGTCTTACTCCATGGACCCTTCTAATTGTGGGCACGCCTGTGTCCCGCCTTGCAGTGGCTTCTACTTTGCTCAGAACAAGTTTCATTCAAGTATCGAGGACCTGACAATGTGCACTTTATATAATAAGCTCATTTTGTACTCAACTTTGTTTCTTAGCTACACACACACACACCTGGAGTTCCACAAAAACAGTCCTCCAACAAACGAAGAATGAATAATATGCTCTCTAATGGTAAGAAAAATGTAGATAAACCACCCTCAAAACTGTATCATCTGTAAACAGGACTTGAAGTGAAGGAAAAACCACACACAATCGGCTCAGATGAGCTGGTGGTTGGTGACACAACATTAGATATTGTTACTGGCTCAGAACCCTTCTGCAGACACCCAAAGGCTGGTTCCAACAAAGACAGTGGGAGAAAGTTCCCCAAGAGAAGGCTTCTCTTGATCATGTTTAAAAGCTTACTTAAAGTCCTGGCTCTCCCAGTACCCCCCTCCCCCCGGAGGTCGCAAGGCGCCCCAGGTGAGCAGGAGTCTGGGCTGGGGCAGGGCCGGAGCAGGTGCTATCCGGAGGGGCAGATGGCAGAAGGGAGGAGGATGGGCCTGGACTGAAGGACTAGCCTGTGCGCGGGGCCCAACAGGACGACTCTCTTCTAAGGACCTAGGCATGGACTTGGTCTTGGCCGCTGCAGACGGCAGAGTTCGTGCCGTAGAAGGCATAATGAAGCCAGTTAGGCCCTCACAAGAAAGGGCTTTATAAGAGATTTCCAGCAGTGGGTGGGCTGTCTTGGGAAGTGACGTGGGCCATCTTCCTGCAAGTATTCGGCCGAGGATGGGAGTCAGCCTGTCAGGAGTGCACTTGCAGGGACTGCTCTATGGGGGAGATCCGGACTGGTCCTTCCAATGCTACAAGGCTACGAGTCTATAGTTTAAGACCCCCAATGTCTCATCAGGGGCTGAGTCTATTTAAGACCAACTTGGCATGACAGGAAATGAAGCTGCATCCCCAAAACTTAGATAATGGGGCCATTTGGGCACCATGCACCAATGAACAAGAAAATGAGAAACGGACAGGATAAGATGAACGAGTCTCATCATAGAAGTTTGCAGGTTCCCAACCTCTTTTTCTCACATGGGGGCTCAGGAGGCATTGGAACTTAGCTCCCAGCTCTTTCTAGCTCCCTCCATGGGGAGGTGCTGAGATAATGAATCTTTAGAAGCCCTGAATTGGAGAAGAGCCACTTCCGTGCGTGCCTGGCTCAGTGTGCCCCAGATACGGGCTGCCCGGCTGGAGACAGACCTCATTAACGTCCTAACTAATTGGATCTGTTCTGCCAACCTGAGAATACACTCAAAAGATTGCACATCTTTGATTCTAACATGAACATAAATTTAGTAGCAGCCTGTGTGTGTGTGTGCGTGAGTGTGTTGGGGAAAGGCAAGAAAGAAATCCTGTTACATTAAATGTAAACCTTGATTATAAGGTGAATCCCCATTTCGAAAAAGTTAAAATGCCAAAAAATAAAAAATTTAAAAAAAGTGTTTCTGAGCCCATGGTGGTAAAATCCTGCCCCAGTTCCCGTAATAAGGCAACCAGGGTGACAAGGCTGCAGTGGGATCTAGAGGTCATGGAAGGAATGTCAAGGACATGGACATTTGGGTGGGAAGGGAGTTAGGATGGAAATGGAGGAGGCCACGGTCTTCTGCCTGAGGAGGAAGGCTGCCAGCAGAGAGTGCCCACAGAACCTTCACTCAACCAGCCCGGGACTGCCCTGGCCCTGGGGTCCAGGGGTCTGATGGGCAGTTTCTCCGGGATTCTCCGGCTTCCACCGACCCAGCAGCAGTGCCCACGGTGGGCTTCAGAGTGGGGCCCATGGAGGTTTGAGCCCCGCACACACCACAAGCAAGCCTCCCAGAGGAACAGACGGCCTAGCTCCTTTTACCTTCCTGCCAACGCCAGACGGTGATGGTGTGCTCGGGGTCCACTCCCACCGACACCAGGAGCTTCCCGGTGGCACTGAAGTTGATGTAATTCACCCCTTTCGAGTGGAAGCACCGCAGCATCGAGAGGGTGTGTTTGGTCATGGCGTCCCAGATGTGGATTGAAGGCGTCGTCCCTGAATGTGTGAGGCATGACACAGAACTGAGGCTGGAGAACGGGGTGGGGGTGGGGGCAGCCAAGGCCATGCTTAGGTTCACCCCAAAGCCTTTTTAAGACCAGCATCCTGGGGTGTTACAGTTACTGGGCCTCAGAGACCCCCAACCTGACCGGGCCAGCGGTGAGAGACGACGATACACACGTGCCGTGCTTTTAGAGCTGGAGGCCTAGGGGGCACTTACGTCCCGCACACGCACTTGTGCAGGGCTTTATACAAAGGAAACTGGTGAGCTCAGTGATTCGTATCAGCAGTTTCGCCAGATACAATCAGCAAACGCGACACAGCGACATGACTTTGCCGTGCAGATTCCAACCGCTCACGGATGGAGCAGCCTTACCTGGGGTCTCCGTCATACCAACTGCGTTGGGTGGACAATGGCAATGAGGAAGCGTCAAGGGAAGACAACAGCTAAAATAAGTCACGTTTCTAATAGCGAGGCACTTAGCAGCAGCATCGGGAAGCTCCAAACTAAGCTTAGAAATGGACATGGGTTCAAGGAACACAAGCAGCGGATATGTTTGTAAAAACTGCCTTTGAAATGACAAAGTTAAAAAAAAAATAAAACAAAATAACACAACACAACCTCTCACAAATGTGAATCAGTTCACATTTGTCGTTGGCAGTTCCCCAGGGTCCAGAAGAGCCAGGCACACAGACTGCAAGCTGCCCTCGCCAAGCACAATCCCAGACTACAGACGTGGGGCTCTTTATCTGACCCCTGGCGTCTGAAAAACTACCCCCACAAGTCCACAGGGATGGGGCACCCGTTTATTTGGACTATCAGGCTCTGGTCTGACTTTATGATCCCTCAGAATTACCAATCACTGGATATTTCAACCCAGACGACACAGATATATTGGGGGCTCAAAAGATAACAGTAATGTCGAGAAAGGGTAGATGTCAGCAACCCGCCCGCTCCCTTTCCAGATAATTGCCCGTCAGGCAGTGTCCCTGCTCTGCTGGGGGAAAGCTCGGCGACTGCGGGACCCTCCTACCTATCTGGCTGGTGGCCACCACATTTCTGTACTTGGGGTGCTGGTTCACCGTGAGGCAGAGGATGTCATCCGTGTGCTCGAGGTAGAAGCTCTGGCTCCCTAGGGGCAGACATGGGAGGGTGAGTGGGGGCGGGGGGTCTGCAGACCTCTCAGGGCAACCCCAAACTATTATGTAGCATCTGCAAATGCCTTGTAAAACTGAGCGGTGAAGGCTCCAAGTTCTCAATTTTAGAATCATGCCTGGGGAGCTGGGAGACCTTTTTTTACATTTACAGATTCTGTTCCAGGCCGGGCTAAAGAGCTGGGGTCTATTCTCTAGCACCTGCCGGCCCCTGCTGCCCATGGGGGTCCAGAGCTCAGTCCAAGTGCAAGGCTCCCAAGGGCCCAAAATGATAACGGAGATACTACCTAACTGAGCAAAATGGCACCACTTACTCATCTGAAAGGGAGGGCTATGGAATAGGAAAAGTAATCAGGGACTCTCTTTCAAATCCTTATTTCTCAAAGCACCAATCCACTTGGGTGCCTAGACGGCACAGGTAAGGTCTTCACCCCGTCATGCCCTCACTCAACATATGTCACAGGAGATAGAAGAAAGGACAAGAAATACGTTATCATCTGGGGCGCCTGGGTGGCTCAGTTGGTTAAGCGACTGCCTTCGGCTCAGGTCATGATCCTGGAGTCCCGGGATCGAGTCCCGCATCGGGCTCCCTGCTCG